TTCTTCTTCTTTTTTTTTTTTTTTTTTTTTTTTTCGCTCAGTATCTGGGGCTTCACCCCGATTAATTCGGACTCGACTCGCGTCGCACACCTAAAAATAATTGGTGAGTCTCCTAACGGGACTGCTACGTACACAAGGTCTCGAACTCGACACATTACTTAAACTGAAACAAGCCGCTTACCACTTGACCCAACCCCTCGTTGGTATTAAAAGTCAACTTTATTAGAAATGTAGTTGAGATTAGAAAGGCAGTTGAGAAAGCATAAAATTAAAAATTAATGAGTTTTGAGATCTTATTGAAATTTTGTTGAATTATTAATTTTTTTGTATTTGAATAAAAAATGAGTAGTTGTTGCGATATGTGAAAAAAGAAGAAGAAGAAATTAATACTTAGACCACCTCACAGATAGCATTTTATTTCATATATAACAACATATAAAGCACTCCTCAAATATAGATCTTGTACAAGTTCGACAACTGATCTGATCATAAAAACACATTTTTTGACACATGGACCGGACAATGTTAAATACGATAAGCAGAACAAACATGATGCAAACAGAACTCAATCTAAACCAAAGTAATTGGCAATAGGTTAAGAGGTTTTATTTCTAAAAGCCGCAACAAACCTTAAAAAGAGTTAACCAACATACATGGAAACTTCCACTTAATCAAGAACACGCACTTGATCAAAAATTGTATATAATTACTTTATTACAAGGATACGTTTGCCACCCTTCTTTGCAAAAGCAAAAACAGGGTCCATTGCTGTTAGGGGCGGAACCAAGAATTTTAGTTAGGGGGCCAGATTTTCAAATTTTAAAATAATATATTATAATTTCAAAAGTTTGTTTTTATATCATAAATTAAAATAATACTTGATAAATCTTCATATCACAAAATCTATCTATAATAAAGTTTACACTAAATGTCTAAACTATTTCCTTTTCAATATAAATAATAAAAGAGTTTGAAAAGAATTTATCTTCCATTTTACTCCGAAATCTTGTTTTCACAATTTTTAGGGCAAAAAATGCTCTTTCTATTGTTACTGTAGAAATTAGAAGAGTAACTACCAAAATAATTAACTTGTAAATGAGATTATAGACCTCTGATTTTTTAATCTCCACAAGCCATTGATATAACTCAAAAATATTTGACAAATTCTAAAAACCCTTATCACAACTTGTTTCAATCTCATACTGTTGAAGCTTTAATCTCAAATTAAGTTTCTCCATCTTTGAAAAATCTCGAGGATAGTATTTT